GTTGATTCCCAAGCTGATTCCCAGGCTAATTCCAGGTTGATTCCCAGCCTGATTCCAGGCTAATTCCAAGTTGATTCCCAAGCTGATTCCCAGGCTGGTTCTAGGCTGATCCCAGGTTAATTCCAGGTTAATTCCAAGTTGACTCCCAGGCTGATTCCCAGGCTAATTCCAGGTTGATTCCCAGCTGTTTACCAGGTTGATTCCAGGCTAATTTCAAGCTGATTCCCAAGCTGATTCCAGGCTGTTCACCAGGTTGATTCCCAGGCTGCTTCCCAGGCTGATCCCAGGTTGATCCCAGGTTAATTCCAGTTTAATTCCAAGCTGATTCCCAGGCTGATTCCCGGGCTGATTCCAAGGTGATTCCCAGGCTAATTCCAGGCTAATTCCAAGTAGATTCCCAGACTGTTTCCCAGGTTGCTTCCCAGGCTAATTCCAGGTTGATTCCCAGGCTGCTTCCCAGGTCACTTCCCAGGCTAATTCCAGGTTAATTCCAAGTAGATTCCCAGGATGCTTCCCAGGCTGATCCCAGGTTAATTCCAGGCTGATTCCAGGCTGATTCCCGGGATGCTTCCCAGGCTGATCCCAGGCTGATTCCAGGCTAATTCCAGATTGATTCCCAGGCTGCTTCCCAGGCTAATTCCAGACTGATTCCCAGGCTGCTTCCCAGGCTAATTCCAGGTTGATTCCCAGCTCACTTCCCAGGCTGCTTCCCAGCCTGATTCCCGGGCTGATTCCCAGCTCGCTTCCCAACCTGCTTCCCAGCTCCCCGGGAAGCTCCACAGGCCTTCCCAGCAGTCCCAGGGAAAGGGGGAAAGGGATAATCGTGGGATGCAGCGCGGGCTGGGATGCCGGGCTGATTCCCAGGCTAATTCCAAGCTAATTCCAGGTTGATTCCCAGCCCGCTTCCCGGCTCACTTCCCAGCCCACTTCCCGGCTCACCGAGGCCTTCCCGGTTCTCCAGGGGCAGCGGGAAAGGGATAATCCGGGATGCGGCGCGGCGGGAGAGGCTCCTTCTTCCCGGGCTGATTCCCAGGTGAATTCCAGGCTGCTTCCAGGTGAATTCCCGGGCTGATTCCCACCTCACTTCCCAGGCTACTTCCAGGCTGCTTCCCGGGCTGCTTCCCAGCTCCCAGCCGGCTTCTCACGCCGCTTTCCCGGTCTCTTCCCAAAGCTCCTTCCCGGCCGCTTCCCAAAGCTCCTTCCCGGTCTCTTCCCAAAGCTCCTTCCCGGCCGCTTTTCCCGGCCTTGAATCCCAGCTTCCCG